AGGTAAAGGTAGATTCCCACGAGTAGTATAAAAAAGGCATGATCGACAGGAGAAAAAAATGGATTCTATTATGGTGTAAACTAATTTATTGTTGCATATATGATCTCAAATTGGTTTAGGATTTTCTTGTGCTAGACATGGCTTTAGACTAGAGAGACATGAATTCCAATTTCAACTGATAATTTCCTGGTGGCTATCCTTGGCTCTGGTCTTGGTTTCATTTTCTGTAAGCCAGTAAAAACCTGCCTTAGAGAGTTTTTGTAAGACTAAAATCTGAGTCTCTAAAAGATACATATAGCACAATGTAAATGCTTTAAAAGTGGTAATTATTATTACCAATTTAATTTTATATAGAACTCAAAGTAGTCATGCTAGTTAGACTACATTATATCTCAGCCTTTTTCATGACATTTTGCACATAGGCAATAGTTGCTGAATATTATACTGTGGGGCAAACCGGTAGCATTGTTTGGGGCCGACTTAAAGTAAACTACTCAAGGGCTCCAGGTGTCCTAGGCCACCCGTGAGCTAAGAGGATCGACAGCTGTACTCACCAGACATACCAGTTGGGAAGCTTTGTATCAGAGGATCAGGGGAGAAATAGAACGTGGAAGACCAGTAAACTTCGATGGTTCCTTGCATGGTTAGAGACTTTACCCCATCTGTGGAAAAGCTGCTTTGCAAACATGTGCCATTCATTCCGAAAAGAGACAGATCGCCTCACCTTCATTGGAAACACAATTCTGTTTGTGTTCTCTTCATCGAGTAGCATCATCTTCCGGGTACAATAAAATGAAAATACCGGAAACAGAATTAGTTGTTCCTAGGAAAGAACAAACTTTGGATCACACTTCCCAGCTTACAAAGTGCTTTTGAACGCATTCATAGCCTCGTGGACTCCCACTCTAGCCCTGTGAGGAGGCTCAGAGATTGACATGTGTCTAATACCTCATAGCTGGTTAAAGGTCATCGAGGTTTAAATACAGGTTTTCCAATTCATTGTTCTTTCTCAAAGTGATTAAGAGAGTATCTCAGAATGATGTTTCCCCAGACTGCTATATTATTTCTCTACCAATTAGCTGAGGAAAATAAAATTTTCACCAGTCTCAGTTCCTAACTACTATGGGCTTTAAAACCTAAAAATGGATACAAGGCACACGGCTCCCTCTAAATCTGTCTCCAAGATAAGTCAAAGAGGAGAGTACAGAAAGAATAGTTTTGTGATTTTCATTATGTTAATATCACAAGTTTCTAAACATAATAATTTGGCTGGCATTGAAAAATAGAAAAATGCAAGGTAATTTTGGTAAGTAAGGCTAGGAAAAAGTAGTGCCTTCAAAAAAAAAATAGTAAAATCGAGTATAGTGAATGTACTTGTTTTCTACTGCTCCGTAACAAATCACTTCAAAATGCAGTGGAAACATCTCACACAATCCTGAGGGTTAGGAATGCAGGAGTGGATTAGCTGGGTAGTACAGGGTATCTCATAAGACTGCAGTCATCTGCAGGCTGAAGGGTCTGCTTTCAAAAAGGACTCACAGGGCCTTTGGCTGGAGGCCTCAGTTCCTCTCCAACTAGACCTCTCCACAGGACGGCTTCGAACTTAGCAGATACCTTCCCCCAGGGCAAACCATTCAGTACAGAGAGTGAGGAGGAAGCCTCAGGCCCTTTCGTGATCTAGTCTGTGGTCACCCACTGTCACCTCTCTGCTTTTCCATTTCTTAGCAAATCACTAACACCAGCCCGTACTGGAGGTGGGTGGGCCAGTGGGTGGGGGGAGTTAGGCTCTACTTGAAAGGAGAAACATCAACGAATTTAGGGGCCTAGTTTAAAATTGCCACAGGAAGGGAAAAGATACACGTGTTCTTTAACCCTTCGAATTTGAGCAGATTCTGTTAAGCCGTAGGGAGCGAAGACAGAATGCAGTCGGGTGCATGTGAGACTGGCCCTCATACACGCTGACGTCGACAGAATCACCTTAGATAGTGAGTTTTGGATTCAAAAAAATCTAAGAACTTTGAAAAATGAAATCAGATAAGTAAATTAAACTTTTAATGGACTGGGCTTTATATAAAGCAGTTAAATAATGAGTTTATACAATGCTACTGTAGTATCACTATAATATTTTCATGTTAATGGACCTTTAATATGATTGTTACAGATTTCCAACTGACACCATACAGCGCTCAAAATGGATCAGGGCTGTTAATCGTGTGGACCCCAGAAGCAAAAAGATCTGGATTCCAGGACCAGGTGCTATACTGTGTTCCAAATATTTCCAAGAAAGTGACTTTGAGTCCTATGGCATAAGAAGAAAGCTGAAAAAAGGAGCTGTCCCTTCTGTTTCTCTATACAAGGTACTTAAATGTAGGTGTGTAAACAAGAGTAAATTTTACCGGGCCTTTCAAAATGAAAATAGTTCACATTATAGCTAAAATCTACAGACAGAAAATCAAGAGTCTTAAAATAAATCCAGTAATAGATTTTAAATGCTTCAAACATAAGTTTTTTTTAAAAAAAAAAAAAATAGCATCTTTTCTGGAGCTTTTAAAAAAGTATATAAATGCAAGTCATTTGTCTAGATGTGTGTAAATATTACTAGTTAATCACAGAAATCAACTAGTAGATATAAACGGCCTTAGAATTCAGGCTTTTTCTTAACTATGAGACAGCTTTCATAATACTTTGAAATTATCTACCTTTTTTTGTATCTTACTGATAATATTATTGATCTTGACCAAAAAATACCTAATAATTAGGATTGATACAGGAAGAAGTATACAGAAAACAGGAGATTTCTACAAGTAAGTCACTAGTGTTGGTGTGACAGTCTTATGTTTCTTATGATTGTTTTTATTTTATTCTTTACCCCTTAACCACAACCCTCATACGTGGCTTTCTGCACAGTCTGTAATAGTCATCTAATTGTTCTATCCTGACATTAGCCTTACCTTCCTCTTATTCGTAAGTCTCCTTCTTTCAGTACTGGTTTATCTCATTCCCCTATTCAGAAGTATGTAGTTAGTGTCAAATTCAAACTCTTAATTTCCAAGAGCTTCCTGTTAATTGATTTGTGACTTTTTAACTGCCCTGGATTTTCTTTTCAAACCACATATACTTACCCACTATTTCTGTGATAAATTTACCTGCTTTCATGCTTTTGTGTCAAATCAATTTATTTATCAAGACCTACAATAGTCCAGGCATTGTATTAGAAGATTTACATAAATTATTGTATCCTCAAAACAACATTGTATTATTAGCCACCTTTTACAGATGAGGACATAAGGGATTGTAAGGTGTACATGACAGCTAATAAGCGAGAGAGTTAGGATTCAAACCCAGGTCCACCTTCATTCCAAAGCTATGCTCTGTCCACATGCCTTCTTTTTGTGCAGATAACTTCCCTGTCTTCTCCATTAAACCACGGTATTGTACCTTCAAAGAACAACTCAAAACTCACTTCCGTGAAGCCTTCTCAAATTATTACCACCTTTCTCTAGTACTTTAATCATTTCAGAAACTTTCAACATCATATTAATACTTCTGTATAGATCCTCCAACCCCCCCCCTATTTACACTGTCCTACAGACCAGCGGTCCCCAACCTTTTTGGTAGCAGGGACCGGTTTCATGGAAGACAATCTTTCCCTGGCGGGGGGGGATGGTTTTGGGATGATTCAGGCACATTATACCATTACATTTATTGTGCAGTCAGACATCTCTGCTAGTGATGATCTGTATTTCCAGTCTCTCGCCAGCGCTAGCATCACCGCCTCAGCTCCACGACAGGTCATCAGGCGTTAGAGTCTCATAAGGATCGCGCAGCCTAGGTCCGTCAGATGCTCAGTTTACAGTAGGGTTGGCACTCCTCTGAGAATCTTATGCCTTATGCAGTGATGCCAGCGACGGGGAATGGCTGTAAATACACATGACGCTGGCCTGACTGCCTGCCCCCCACCTCCTGCTGTGCGGCCGGGTTCCTAAAGGCCACGGACCGTACCGGGGTTAGGGACGACAGCTATACACTATGTCTTTTTAAAAATTCATAGATGATGACCTTTTCTTTCATAACTATCCAGAGCAACCAGGTGAGTGCTTTGTATTTAGTAATATTTTTACAGATAATCTAACGTGACGATTTCTAAAATAAACTTAATTTTGTATTTCCGTCATAGGTTCCTCAAGGTGTACACCTTAAAGGTAAAGCAAGACAAAAAATCCTAAAACAACCACTTCCAGATAATTCTCAAGAGGTTTCTACTGAGGACCATAACTATAGTTTAAAGACACCTCTGACAACAGGTGCAGAGAAACTGGCTGAGGTGCAACAGATGTTACAAGTGTCTAAAAAAAGACTTACCTCTGTAAAAAACTACAGGATGATCAAGAAGAGAAAGGGCTTACGATTAATTGATGCACTTGTGGAAGAGAAACTACTTTCTGAAGAGACAGAGTGTCTGCTACGAGCTCAATTTTCAGGTATTTCCCATAGTAACCTGAAATATTTACAAAATACCTATTTTTCGGAAATACCTTTAAATATATACTCTGCTGTTGCCTGTGAAAACATGCTTTCATCTGGACAGTGAAAATTCTCCATAGTGTGAGCAAGAAGAATAAAAAGAAATTGCTAAAATTCTTTTCTATTTTATGGTTTCTCAATTATAAAAGTAACATGGTTATTATAGGAAAAGCAAAGAAATATTTAAATGATAAAAATAATGCATAATCCCACTAATCAGAGATGAGATCGTATGGTTTATAAAATTTTGTATTCTGTCCTCTTTTTATAATACCTCTTACCCATGCTACCAGTAAATAATTTTAACTGCTATGTAATTTGTCACCAAAGTCTTTTTGTAGTGGAGTTGAACTAGATAATTTTCAAAATTTCTTTGAACTTGGAAATTGTATATATCTCCACATTTTTTTAAAAAATATACGATAGAGTAGATATATAAATCTATGGAAAGACTATCCAGTCCTCTTTGTGAACTGGGATATTTCAAGAGGGGCAAAATAAGAATTTCCAACTTACTCTTTGATGAAGGCAGCAGAGATCTGGGCTTACATTCTGAGAAAAGAGAAGGATGTTCTGTTTCCAGAAACCAGTAGGTATCTCTGAAGGAGGAGAATATTTTGTGTTTCTTTAAGAAGGAAATAGAGGTAATAAATAGGAGCCCCCACCAGGAACAGTGGATTTTTCTTTTTTCTCTCTCTCAATGGCAGGCAGTGGTCTACCAATCTGAATAGTACCCTGTCCCTAGAAATGTTTCTCATATCTAATTTTCACTCTCAGATAAATAGTAACCAGAGAACAAAACAAATGTCCTCATAATCCAGAGACTTAATTTTATATAGTTATTTCATTTTCTTCCCTGTTCCTCTAAAAGTCTCTACTCAGGCCGCCAGTGAATAGGAAAACATGATTCAGGTTGACACTTTCTTCTTCCCTCTCACTGGTGAAATGATTTAAGATGAACACCATAAACTGGTGAAGGAGCTGAAAGTGGATATGAACCTCTGAACAAACTCAGTTAAAATGTGACTGTATTGTATTTGAATTTTGATGCCCAGTAAATTTTATATCCAAATGCTATGATCTGTACTTGAAAATGTTACTATTAACATTTTATCACAAAGAATAAATACGTTTATTTTAACAGATTTTAGGTGGGAGTTGTATAATTGGAGAGAGACAGATGAGTACTCCACAGAAATGAAACAATTTGCATGCACACTCTACTTGTGCGGTAGCAAAGTCTATGATTATGTAAGAAAGATTCTTAAGTTGCCTCATTCTTCCATCCTCAGAACGTAAGTGAATTATATTTTAGATGCTAAATAAATACATTCTTTTACCGCATTTGATACATTAAGGCTATTAGTACTCATACTCTCATTTGTTAGTCCATTTTCAATTTTTTAAAAACTTCTAGGTGGTATTTGCATATTATCACAACAGCAGTATTTCACCAGCAAAACGAAGACACATAGTCTGACAAAATGTTTGCATCTCCCAGATACCAGAGACACTCTGGGCGACAAAATCTGAATCCTGGAATATTGGAATTTCTAGCATACTTCAGCAGTTTTAATATCTGACGATCCTAGAAAATCTAGAACAGTTCTGGATAGATAACCATTGGTCTGGGAAAAGCACAAAAATGTACATTTTTCATAAGCACTGCAGTTGATGCCAGTGTAGGTTGTCCAGCGACCAAATTTTGCTTAATAATTTTTTAGTATTTGTGGTCAAAATACCTAGATATATTTATAATTCTCTTAGTGTGAAGCAAGTAACACATGACTTTCTAGTAATGTCTTATAAATTTATATCTTAATGCTTAATTTTTATTTTTTTTACCACTGGTTTTACAGAATTTTTTTTTTTTTTTTAAAGAGCGAGACTCTCTAGTCACCCAGGCTGGAGTGTGGTGGCATGCCTTGAACTCCTGGTCCCCAGGGACCTTCCTGCCTCAGCCTTCTGAGTATCTGGGACTACAGGTGTGTGCCACTATGCCTGGCTAATTTTTAAAAAAATTTTTGTTGAGATGGGGTCTTGCTCTGTTGCCCAGGCTGGTCTTGAACTCCTGGCCTCAAGTGATCCTCCCACCTCAGCCTCCAAAGTGCTGGGATTAGAGGCATGAGCCACCGTGCCTGACCTATAGACTCTTTTTTCAAAAACATGAATGAGAGCAGTGGCTTATGCCTGTAATCCTAGCACTCTGGGAGGCTGAAGCAGGAGGATTGCTTGAGCTCAGCAGTTCAAGACCAGCCTGAGCAACAGCAAGAGCTATTTTTCTACTGAAAATAGAAAAAATTAGCTGAGCATGTTGGCGCACACCTGTAGTCCCAGCTACTTGGGAGGCTGAGGCAGGAGGATTGCTTGACTCCAGGAGTTTGAGGTTACAGTGAGCTATGATGATGCCACTGCACTCAGGGCACAGAGCGAGAATCTGTCTCAAAAAAAAAAAATACGAATGAAGATTTTCCTCCACACACTAATAAAATAATACCACTAATAAACAATTTAGAAATAGGAGAAAAGGAAGGAAAAATTCATTGTTTCTATGCATTATATGTAAACAATTATTATTAACATTTAGAGTATTTCCTTCCAATCTTTTTTCTGTGCTTAGATTTTCTGGTTTTTACATAGTTAGAATCTTTTGTATATAAATTTCCAAGCTGCCTTGTATCACCTCAGTGTACATGGTTTTTATCCATGTTATTTTGAACTCTATAGACAAGTTTTAATAGCTGCATAATATCAGAGTTAGCCTCCTTAACTCTGGCATTCTCCAACTATTAGACATTTCTATTGTTTCCATTTTTTGGTTGTAATTGCTATTTTATATATTGAGGTGAACATTTGTGTAGGATGCTGTCTTCCATAATGTGATTTTACCATTCAGGATAGCTATTGTACTTATTTATCAATGTCCACTTTCTGCTAAGCAAGAAACATTTTTATAGACACTTTGTTGATATTTCTCCTCTTAACATCTTAAAAAAATTTTTTTCCTTATTGATATATAATAGTAGTATATATTTTGGGGGTACATGTGATAGTTTGATACGTGCATACAGTGTTGTAATGATCACATCAAGGTAATGGGGATATCCGTCACCTCAAACATTTTTCTTGGGGGGAATCCTACACCTTTTTTAGTCCAGTACTGTCTTCTGCACTGGTCTTAAAGCATTACTTGGTAGTTTTTCACTGTGGTTTATGTAAGGTATTTCACATGACTTCTCATCTTTTTTTTTCATGGTTTTCTTCATTTCCCATAGTTGTGCATCAACTCCTAGATTAGATCTTCCTGGAAATTCCAGCTCACACTTAACTTTTCTCTTCATGTCATTTTGCATTTTGTTACCTCTGCAGTGACATTATATATTTACATTTATGATTCCAGTACTCAGACAGTTGCTTATTTCTTGGGATACTTTGGCTATAACTAAGGTACATTGTGATAATAATATATGCTTGTTATAAAACATTCAAACATCATGTAAACGTATAAATACCAGAAAGTGAAAAACACGATCCCCTAATCCCCTAAGATAAACTACTGTTAGCAGTTTGGTACATATCCTCCTAGACTTTTGTAAAAAAATCTTGTTTCTATTTATCTATCAATAACATTTTGTTTTAATGGCTGTATATTATTCTATTATATTAATGGTATCTAGATTTTATCCAAAAATATCTGAGTGGTCAAACATAGTTGTTTTTGGTTACACTTCCATTCATTTTCCCATTAATAACTTACCTGTTTTTAACACAGCTATGCTTAAGTATCAGATCTTTATAATCATCATATTTAATATTCACTTATTCAATAAATATTTATTGATCAGGAGCGGCCAGTGAGGCAGGAGGAAAACCAGGAGATTGTGATGGCCTAGAAGCCAAGTGTAGAAAGTATTTCAAGGAGGGAGCAGTCCACTATGTCAAATGCTGCTGGGAGATCAGGTAAGATGAGGACAGAGAATTGGCCATTGGGTTTTTCAAGATGGAGGTCATTGATGACTTTGACAAGCAGTGGAAAAGCAGTTGCAGGGAAGTGGTGGAGAGGTAAACCTGGCTGAAGTGGGTCCAGAGAGATTGAAGGTGAAGCAGCAAAGAAAATGATTATGGACTCTTCCAGGGAGTTTTGCTGTGAAAGAGAGCAGAAAAATGGGTCTCTAGATAGAAGGGGACATGCATCGAGGGGAGGGTGTTCGCTGAGATGTCACATGGCCCAGCATGGTTGCACGCTCATGGGAATGATCCAGTAGGGAGAAGAAAATTGGTGATGAAGGAGGGAAAGGATAATTGTAGGAGGATGATACCCAACACTGTTGTGGATATGGGAACAGTTCATCCATTGAAACAGGAAGAAAGGCAGAAATACAGATTAAATAGGTTAACAGATGTGGTGGCAGGAGAGTAAGATTGGTTACGTTGCCACCATGTTGTCCAGGCTAGACTCAAACTGCTGGGCTCAAGGGATGCTCCTGCCTCAGCCTCCAGATTGGCTGGGACTATAGGTACGTGCCATCGCACTCGGCTGGAAAATGAGTTTTTGTTCGATTGCTTCTATTTTCTCAATGAAATAGAGTTACTGGCTGAGATATAGAGAGGGAGGCATTATAAGTTTGGGGAGAAAGAAGAAAATGTGACTTGTCACCTCAAGGACCAGAAAAGTAAAGGACTGGAAAAATGTAGCACCAGATTTGTGGTCAAAACTGTTGTTTTTTCACTCTGTAATGATGGAGAAACAATTAAGATGGTTTACAATTAGATGATTACAGAGCAAGCTCGCCTTAAATTTTTAAAAAACGCTTGGTTTGGTTGGATAGGCATCTCACTGATTTCTAATTGTCGTACATCTTTCTCTAAATTCTTAGCTACATCATACACCTCTCTAATTTTCTCTGTACTCACGTTGGATCCTTTTTCAATTCTCCCTGAATTCTTTTTGTCCAAAACCTTTCCAGAGCTGTGTTTTTTTATAATTCCAGTGCTTTGGGTCTTTAAGATAGCTCGTTTTCACAAAGCTTTTGTAATAATATCCTCAACTTTCCTTGTTTTAATAATAGTAATACGTTTAGGATGCTCTTGATCACAGAAAATGCTGGCACAGTTGTTCCTTATTTACATATTTTTTAATGTTTATACTGCCATTTAGTAAATCGACTCCCTCTTATAGGTTAAGTGCTACGAGAGAATCAAAAGCAAATAACAGTGGGAGGAACTAATAGTCTTACAGAAAAACACTTAGCTCAGCCTTGGATCTCTGCGATTATATTTTTCCCAGGCAGAATTTTAAGCCACCCAGCTGACTCCCTATAATCATTCCATAACTAAGTTATTAGATATTGGTTTGTTAATTTGAAATATCATGTTGATGAGAATGTAAATTGAAATTGGCTTAACTTTCTGAAGGACAATTTGGGAACATAAATTTTAAATTGACCCCCCCCAATTATGTGCAACTGAAATCCAAAATTTGTTTTTAATTTCTTACTAAAGTTGAGTTCATTTATCCCCATAAGTGCATAAGTAAATTTACCTCTGCACCCTACTGCTAGGACTTACACGAATGACATAAATATATACGTGTGTGTGCGTGTCTGTATGCATACACACAGTGTCGTGCTGTTTATGTTGTCTAAGAATTGAAATGTTCCTCCATACAGGTTGGTTAAATTATTTACGGTTTAACTATACTATGTTATCTACTGTGTACAGATTTAAAATGTTGCTGTTGGTTAATATTAAGGACATGTAAAAATGTCTGTAACATTACTATTAAGTGAAGAAAAACAGGTTCAGTATAATTTTTGAAAATTATATCTAGGTATGTATACATAAAGACATATAGAAGACTAACTGATTTTTACTTCTTTATATTTTTCTGTATTTAGTTTTTTCTTTAAAAAAAGGAAGGCTGTTTTTTATGATCAGAATTTTTTTTTTTTTTTCATTTTTGGGGGAAAAACGGGGCTTAAGAGAGAAATTATTCGTTTCCCTGCTATTCTTACTCACAAACTTGGTTTGGTTATACCTGACTCTTAGTTATAAAAACTTTAAAAAACAAATCAGTAAGTCCACATATCTTTCTGCTTGATGTTCAAGACATTGATCTAGTAGCCGTGGACATTAAGATACCATGTAGATTTCCCTTTAAAAATCAAGCTCAGCAGAATATAAGAGTTCTTTTTACCTCATTTTAAAGAAGACTTTTACATGGGGCAGTAAGTAGTTTATTATATACAGCATATGCAAGACAGTATCTGGTATCATTTGAGAATCCTCATGCACAGAAGTAGGTCTCGCTGTGTTGCCCAGGCTGGTCTTAAATTCCAGGCTCAAGTGATACTCCTGCTTTGGCCTTCCAAAGCTCTGGATTATAGACGTGAGCTACTGCAACTGGCCCGCCGTATTTTTAAATACAAATAATTGATGCTTTTGTCGCCTAAATAGATTATAAGCTACTTACAGTCAAAGTATGTCTTTTGCATCCTAAAAGTGTGTTTTTCAAATCCATTAGTGCATCATGAAATCAATGTAGTGGGTCATATATGCCATTAAAGTGTGTGTGTATAAATATGTGTGTAGAAGTAGGCTGGGTACAGTGTCTCATGCCTGTAATCCTAGTACTTTGGGAGGCCAAGGTGGGAGGATTGCTTGAGGCCAGGAGTTCAAGACCAGCCTAAGCGGGAGCAAGACCCCATCTCTACAAAAAATAGAAAAATTAGCCTGGCATGATAGCACGTTGCCTGTAGTCCCACTTACTCAGGAGGCTGAGGCAAGAGGATCACTTGAGCCCAGGAGTTTGAGGTTGCACTGAGCTATGATTTCGCCGCTGCACTGTAGCCAGGACGATAGAGCAAGACCTGTCTCAAAAAAAAAAAAAAAAATTACAGTTGTCCCTCAGTATACGTGGGGGATTGGTTCCAGGACCCCGCTCCCCCTCCCCAGTATACCAAAATCCTTGCATACTCAAGTCTTGCAGTTGGCCCTGCAGAACCTGCATATGTAAAGAGTTGTTCCTCTTTATACTCGGGTTTTTTAATCCAAGAAGTGTATAAGTGGACCCACACAGTTTGAACCTGAGTCATTCAAAGGCTAACTATATTCACACACACACACACACACACACACACACACACACACACACACAAATATGTATACATATGTGAAAGTTCATGGTACACAGTAAGGGTGAATTTGGTTTATGAAACTTCTAGGCTGCAGCTAAAATATTTAGAAAGTCCCATCTTGAAATACTTAGGGAAGTACATTAAAATCTCAATTAAATAGAGGTTTCTTCCTGTCCAGGCTGCCTAGATTATAGCCCAAAAATCAGAAATTTAACTGAAAAAAAGACATTTGATTTATAAAAGTATACGTCAGCTACTGATGAGCACACCTCAGTCTCTCCCTCAGGATCCATTTAATCTTATTATACTTACGTTTTTTATAATTTGTTTAAATTTTTGTTTTGTGAGGGACGAGGTCTCACTATGTTGCTCAGGCTAGACTCGAACTCCTGGCCTAAAGCAATCCTCCCACCTCGTCCTCCTGAGTAGCTGAGACTACAGGTGCACACCACCGTCCCCAGCCCGTTTGATCTTATTCTAGATGGTTACTAAATGAGGCCCTTTTCTTTCCTGATCTATAACAAATGAGAGTAAGCAGAAGTCAGAAGAATTGTGAACACAGACACTAGTAATAGGAAAGAATAATTAGCAGTCTGAGAATGGCAGGGATACTACGGAAGACTTGGCAAGGTATCAGCGCAGGTAGGTTGTATGGGGCAAACAGGTGCCGACGCCTTACATGTCCCTGATTGTGAGGCTGTAAAGAGTGAGGAGAGCACTAAACCCCTAGGCATCGGGAAAGCTGGGCTTCACATTTGCCCACGACTAACGGCACAATATGGGCCAAGTGGCTTAACCCTGTTAGGGACTGGCTGCCGCCCCCCGCCACCCCCCACCCCCACAGGGAAGAATCGTCTTCATGAAACTTAGAGGGTGGGGCCATTAGAGCAGGAGGTGAGCGGCGGGGGAGCATGCTGACAGCCGCTCCCCATGGCTCGCATCACCGCCTGAACTCCGCCTCCCCCGTCTGCCGGGCTGCCTGCCATCCGTGAAACCCCCGTCCCTGGTGCCAAAAAAGATGGGCCTTAACCTGGCTTAACCTCTCCCTCTGTCCCAGCTTCCCAGTCTGTAAAATGAGGTAGCTGTACTAGATGTTCCCAAAAGTTCCTTCCCCTTCAATACATTTTCTCATTTCAGTGAATTTACAGGTAAGGCTGGTTTAGGATCTACATAAAGAGATCAATTAAAACAAACTGCATAGTTGGTTTGTTGGCTTTTTAAAGAATAAAGGAAACTTAAAATACTAGTGCTTTGTGTTTCTCATTTCCTATATTGTCTATTTTGTTATAACCACATGACTATATGTTTGAAAATGTAGAATTTGGCTACTTAAGCTTACATTTCTACAGGGAGACCACTTTAGTAGTACCATTTAAGGCATTTTCCCTTTTATCTTTTTATTTCTCCATTGAAGTTTTATATTTTTCGCTTTTTATGTATCCTAGGTGGTTATCCAGATGCCAACCCAGTCCAGGTTTCGATAGCAACGTCTTTTCCTTCCTTCAGCGAAGAGCAGAGAAGGGAGACCAGCTGTACCAGTACTGTTCGCTGCTAATAAAAGGTGTGCCTCTCACGCAGCAGCTCCAGTGGGATCCCGGCAGTCACAGCTGGCAGGGGTTCATGGACTTCGGTCTCGGAAAACTCGACGCTGACGAAACACCACTCGCCTCAGAAGCCATCTTGTTAATGGCGGTGGGTATTTTTGGTCACTGGAGAACACCTCTCGGTTATTTTTTTGTGAACAGAGCATCCGGATGTTTGCAAGCCCAGCTGCTTCGCCTGACCGTTGGCAAACTGAGCGACACAGGGATCACAGTCCTGGCCGTGACCTCTGACGCCACCGCGCACAGCGTGCAGATGGCGAAAGCGCTGGGGATCCACATGGACGGGGACGGCATGCGGTGCACCTTCCAGCATCCGTCCTCGTCTAGCCGACAGATCGCTTACTTCTTCGACCCCTGCCACTTGCTGGGACTGGTAAGAAACGCGTTTCAGAATTTTCAGAGCGTTCGTTTTATCGGCGGCACAGCGCACTGGCAGCACCTCGTGGCGTTAGTAGCACTGGAGGAACGGGAGTCAGCAAGCACGGAAGGAGTCCCCAGCAAACTCGCGAGCTTGAAGAATCACGTCCTGAAAACGAATCGTGCCGCGCAACTCTTCAGCGAGAGCGTAGCCAGCGCGCTGGAGCACTTGCTGTCGTCGGGCCTGCCTCCCTTCCAGGACTGCAGTGGCACCGTCCACTTTCTGCGCTTAATTAGCAATCTCTTTGACATTTTTAATAGCAGGAATCGTTACGGGAAGGGACTTAAAGGGCCTCTGCTGCCTGAAACTTACGGTAGAATAAATCAGGTGTTAATGGAAGCCAAGACTGTTTTTGTTACGTTGTCTGACACTAGCAATAATCAAATCATCAAAGGTAAGCAAAAACTAGGATTCCTGGGATTTTTACTTAATGCCGAGAGCTTAAAATGGCTTTACCAAAATTACGTTTCCCCAAAGGTCGTGCCTTTCCCGTATCTTCTGACTTACAAATTCAGTCAAGATCACCTGGAATTATTTCTAAGGATGCTTAGGCAGGTATTAGTAACCAGTTCCAGCCCTACCTGCATGGCATTCCAGAGAGCTTACCATACTTTAGAGACCAGACACAGATTTCAGGATGGAGCTTATCTAAGTGAAGTCAGTATCTTTGACATTTCAGTCGCTCGACGGCAAGACTTGGCCCTTCGGGCAGTTCAGCGTCAGCACGGTGTCAGCACGGCAGAGACTCTCTTTCACAAAGAGGATGTTTGCCAAGACTGGTCTGACTGTTCGCTAAGCGAGGCTTTGCTAGACCTGTCAGACCACAGGCGAAATCTCGTCTGCTACGCTGGTTATATTGCAAATAAGTTATCAGCTCTTTTAACTTGCGAGGACTGCGTCACTGCCCTGTACGCGTCGGACCTCAAAGGCTCTAAAATCGGGTCACTGCTATGTGTTAAAAAGAAGAACGGTTTGCATTTTCCTTCAGAAAGTCTCTATCGGGTCGTAAATATTTGTGAGCAAGTTGTACGAACCCATTCAAGAATGACAACGCTTGAACTAGTTCCTAGGCAGAGAGAGTATCTTCAACAGAAAATACTGTGTGAGCTTTCTGGGAACGTTTATCTTTTTGTGGATTTAGATGTGCATCTCTTTGACGGAGAAGTGTGTGCCATCAATCACTTCATCAAATTGCTAAAAGATATAATAAAATGTTTCTTAAATATCAGAGCTAAAGACGTAGCTCAGTGCCCCTTAAAACATCATTCAGAAAAAATTGAGATGGAAACGTTATCAAGGAAACACTGGTTATCCCTACAGGATTACAGATGTTCAAGTTTTGCTAATACTAATAAATTCAGGCATTTGCTGTGTAATGATGGATATCCATTCAAATGAGAGACCTAAATATATTAACACTTTTATTAAGAATACTTAGTCAACACTTTTTTTAAAGTTCCATTTGCCATATTTTATAAATTGACCATTCTGCACAGTGGACAAGCTTGTAGTTTTGACTTATTAGAATTTCTAATTATGCATATCATAAAATCTGCTCATACTTTGGTATGTCTTGCAGCATTTATGAGTTTTCCAAAACGTAGAAAGCAGTAAGTCAGTGGGAGCTGACTATCCAACAGGTGTTATCTTTGAACTTACTACTGTAAGACTGAGTTATATGACCGGACATACTTTTAACCTGTTCAGTCTACTTTATAAACAAGAATAACAACTAGGAGTCACCAAAACATTGACTGCTTTTAAGAGTAGACTACGTTTCCTAAAAGAGCTTTGGTTTACAATTCTTAAGAATGTCCACAGGATGCCTGTAAAAGCTTGAATATAATTTTTACTGAAATATGAAAATTAAGTTGTGGTTTGAAAATTAGGCTAAAGCAAAATATCAAATCCTGCAAAAATCTCCTTGTCCCAGAGTATTCTAAACTAGAAGTATTTACACTTTGTCAGGCAGAAGGTAAAGTACGTGAGCCATGAGATTATTCCCTGTGCCGCAACCAAGCTGCACGATGCAGTCTAGAAGAACACAGGTGATGTGATTTTTCACTATTCGTTGTCCCTGGACTTCAAAATATTACTTTAGAATGATATAATAAGGTGGATACTTACTTGACTCCCGTTGGCAGAGCCCAGTGCTCATCGGAAAATAGGGAGAAGCCTTTGATTCAACCTCTTTCCAAAGTCTACTCGTGTTCGCACGGAGGCTAAAATAACGAAACACATATTCAGTGTTGAGTGGATGATGGGATATCATACCACATAATCAATCTAAAGATGGTCAATTGAGACAATGGCTATGAAAAAAGTTGGCCTATTACATAATGGATTTTTTTCAGAAATTTAGGAGAAGCTTAAATAATCTGAAGATGGAAGCACGCTGAGGACAAATTTCTCCATTCACTCACATACCCACATTTGAAAAGATCAACAGAAAAACAGAGGTACGTATACTTCCACAGAAGGAAGTATTTTAATGGATGGAAGAAGAGACAACACATTATTCACCTGTGTTTGTAAAACCTCTGCTCTTTTTTGTCATTGAATAAATGTTCACAAAGTATCGTTAATCCTAATATGCAAATTTAGAATTGTAAGAGATTAATGATTTGGTAAAAGCATATTAATTAAAATTCCTCTTAAAAAGTATATTCTGATATATTTGTTTATTCTACCTCAAACAAAGGTTTTTGTTTTGAAACGCAACCAGTGTTGTACTAGTTTTTCAAAACCTATTATTGAGAAGTCTGCATATTGTGGTTTTTGTTTTGTTTGCAAGTAGAATTGAGTTTAAACACACCAGAATAAATCTTATTTAAAGCCTGTTTGTAAATCACTGTTACCTTATTGCTCATATAAACCCAAGTTTTCTACCTGATCTTTGTGTAAAGCAGGGTTCACATCTGTAGTGTCGGCTGTTCCTTGGTGTTGCATTTGACGTATGTGCTAACATCGTCTGTGTTTGAAGAAATTAGTATTTTGCATTATTTCTTTAAGTGCTGGATAAATTGGGCAAACACTGAAGATAATAATATTTCCTTCACTGCCTTTAGCCCAGTTCATTGCTCCTTTGCTTGTGAAAGGGTTTAAAGTCTTATATCAGATTTACTTGATATGCTTGACAGTGAAATAAATTATTCATTTATATTTGATTCATTTATAGGGTAATTTGGTTATAATTTCTACTCTGCATCTTTGTGTCATTTTATTCTCTTCAAAGAAAAATGTTCCCTTTAAAAATGTATCCTTCCTGCTTTCCAATAAATAGCGCTGGGACAACTGGATAGCCACATGCAAAATAATGAACTCAAAATGAGTCAAAACTTAAATGTAAGAGGTAAAGCCAGCTGGGCATGGTAGTTCATGCCTGTAATCCTAGCACTTTGGGAGGCCGAGGCAGGAGGATTGCATGAGGCCAGGAGTTTGAGACCAACCTGAGCAACACAGTGAGACTCCCCACCCGTCCTCTACAAACAATATTATCAAAAATTTAGCCAGGTATGGTGGCTAGTGCCTGTAGTCCTAGCTGCTTGAAAGGCTGAGGCAGGAGGATCTCTTGAGCCCACGAGTTTGAAGTTGCAGTGAGCAATGGTGACGCCACTGTGCTCTAACCTAGGCAACAGAGCAGGAAGGTAACACTATAAAATTCTTAGAAAATAAATTAATCTTTGAGACTTGTATTGTATTAGATGGTGGTTTCTTAAGTAAGACACCAAAAACAGAAACAGCAAAAGAAAATAAATTGGACGTCATCAAAATTTAAAACTTGTGCTTTGATGAAGGGATACCATCAAGAAAGTGAAAGACAATCTATTGAATGCAAATCATAAATACAAAGAACTCATAACTCAATAAAGGACAAATAACCAAATTTTTTAAATGGGTAAAGAATTTGAATAGACTTTTCTCCAAAGGAAATATATACAAATGGCCATAAGACACATGAATGTATGTTCACATCAGCCATCCAGGAAATGCAAATGCGAATCACAATGAGATGTCACTTCACACCCGCTAGGATAGCTATAAAAGGGTAGATTAAGTATTAGCAAGATGTGGAGAAATTGGAACTCTCATACACTATTGGTGGGAATGTTAAATTGTGCAGATAATGCAGATGCTTTGGAAAATAGCCTGGCACATTCTTCAGAAGGTTAAACAGTTACCTATGAGCCAGCAATTCTACTCCTAGGCATATCTAGAGAAATGAAAACATGTCCACACAAATAGTTGTACAGGAACTGCTTAGCAGCATATAGCGAAGAAGTGGGGAAAAACCTAAATGTCGACTGATGAATGGATAAATAAAAATGTGATCTATGCAGTGGGTCATACAGAAAGTGCATGTTTACCTTATAATGAACTGTCGAAACTTTTTGCAGTGACTCATTTATTCTAGTAGTTTTTAACCTTGCTAAACTCATTTATTCTAGTAGTTTTACCTGGTTTTTCTATATACACAATCACATCGCCTACACATATAGTTTTATTTATTCATTTCCAATCTATGGGACTTTTTTCCCCCTGCTGTGTTGCACAGTGACCTCTAATACAGTGTTGAATACAAGTGCCTTGCTCCCGGTCTTAGAGGGAAACTTGTTCTTCACCATTTGTATGATGTTAACTAGAGGCTTTTTGTAATGCTCTTCATCAGATTTAGTGCTAATAGGTTGCTCAAGAGTTGCTTATTTGTTTTTTGAATCATAAATGAGTGTTGAATTTTGTCAGATACTTTGCACCTTTTGGAGGAAAAATTTTTGAAAATAATTCACAAACCATAATATTTACCCTTTTAAAGCATACAATTCAGCAGTCTTTCATATAATGACAAAATCATTTTCTGCAACTTTTGAGATAATCATTTAGTTTTTCTTTTGTGCTGATACAGTGAATTAAATTGGTTTTTTTAAAACTATCAGATCAACCTTTTATTACTGGGATAAATCCCACTTGGTCATGTATTCATTTTATATGTTGCCAGATTTCATTTACTTATATAATAAAGTCCCTATTACCTTATTAAACAGTACCCCGAATATACTTGTTTTCTTATTGCTTTTGAATAGAAACTAAGAATGGTTTGAATGTTTTAAATATTTTCATAAAATTTACCATTTAGAAAGAAATTTGTTTTAAAAGCCTTTATAGCTTTCATCGTATAAAATCACTTGGATGAAAAAAAGCTCACACTTTGTCTACAGATAAAATGAGCATTAAAGAACCCCTAACAAGAAGAAAACAAACCTTAAATAATTTGTAACAATAGAAAATAACTCCAGTAGTCAAGACTCCTTAGTTGATTGGCTTCCCTCTGCTTTGGGTGGCCACACCAGAATTCCTATGTAAATGCTTATGAGGAATGCAATATGATCAAAGTTAGGGCTGGAGGCTCTGGTTTGAAGCTTCATTTACATAACAAGCATTCATTTTCTTAACTATTTGTGTTACAGAACAATAAAAATAGAAAACTTTTCTACAGGTATTTTTATTCACATTTTACATAAGACTGAGAAAATGGCAGTTGTTCAGTATCAAAAAATGGGAGATTAAAGCAGCATGCTTCCCCCCCTCCCAGAGTCTGGAGAAAAGACCTACAGGTTGCTTTTAGTTCTTCAGGGAAAAGGAAACTAGGAAACGTCTTCGTAAGAACATCACACGTTAAAAGAAAGTAGATTTTGTTCTCTTAAAAGAAACAGTGGGAAAAAGGGAAGACATATATATTTTCATTCCAAAGCAATTTATGTTCATGATAATTGGGCAAAATGGTAGAATTTTTTAGTTGTGTGTTTTCAGAAGTAATGACAAATTGACTTGAAAATCAGATAATTTAAAAGGTTTCTTGCATGTTAAATGGTTAAAAGTGGTGTTATTGGACTAAAGAAAAAATGCAAAACCTTTTTTTATAGAATAGTATAAATGTTTATTTTCTGTATGATTTACTTTGCTGTCCTGTTTTTACAATATAGAAAAGTGTATTCTTTGAATAGCTCTAGTAAATATAAATTTAATCTTTCTACTTTGGGATGTAAATAGAGCTAAAAAATTATATACCCAACCCTCCCCAAATAGTCTTTTAAAATCGTTGAATTAATGTGGCTATTCAGAGTTCAGCAATTTGATGCAAATGCCTAAATACAAAAAGTTGTTTAGTAAGTACTACACAGGAAGGAAAAGGCTTAATATTTTGGATAGCTTCTTGGAAATCAGAAAAACTAGTAGCATTTGATTGCACCTTCAAATTTTTACAAGCAAAACATTCTTAAGCAATGCCATCATACATAATCTACAATTGTAATCGAAATTTCACAAACATTTTCTGCACACTGTATATAAATACACATCACAAAGGTGCAATTAGAATTAACACAGAATATGTACAAAATGAACAAAGTTTAGGTTTAGACCAAAAACTTATTGCAATCTTTTGAAAAATAACTTGATTAGATATTATTTTATCCTCTTACACTAATTTACATTTATACAAATTTTAATTAAACAGATTGAGGTGCTAAGAATGTTTGCACTATCTACATTTAAAGTTACTGCACTATAATTTTATAAATTCAAATTTCAAAAGGAAGATACTTTAATGAATAACGGAATCCTCTTTTGGATTACTTAAATTTCTATTGCCTATATCTTGCCTGTTCATATGAACATATATACACACTTAATACATACAACTATAGAGTCCTTGTAGGAAATGTAATAATCATATACTAATAATTACTGAGGATTAAGGTACCTAACAAAATGCCTGAATTCCAACATGGTTTTTTGTTGTCATAAAATCAAGAGTCCTATTATAATAGGCTCTTAAATTCATAGAGTTTTGGAATTACTGAAAATGATTTAGATTATTTTAGTAATTACAGAGAAACACTCACACCTGCAGCTTACCAAATCACTGGCTAAAAATAATGCCACATTTCCCTTATAAAAAGAATTTTTCCTGATATAATTTTCAAAGCTTTGTTAGGAGGCCCATTTCAGTAAATCAAGTAAGAGTCGTGCTGGTTTGAAACCTCTCAGTTCAAAAGTCTACAAAGAGAACTATTTGTATAGATGAAAAATCCTTCTCCAATTCATTTTGTACAGCTTCAAATACTCTTTATTTCTTCCTCTAGGCCAAATTTTACACTTGATAATTATGTGAGGTTCTATATTGTCACTACATAATAATATGTTTACTTCTACTTACACACACCTCTCACTTTAATAGTACCCAGTAATCACTTTGACAATTTATTATCATTTCAAGTACATACCACCTCTTTGAAAGAAAACTGGAGACATCCCAGAGCATTTGTTAGCCATTCCTTATTATAGAAATATATTGTCCATCCTCCGAGAATTATGTACTGTCCCTTAATATTTTATATGGTTTTTTTTTTTTAATTTTTTTGTTTTAAAAGTGTACCTGGGGCTTGCTTCTCCTTCTGACATTCCCAAAGTGACAACGGGATATTATTCCAGGATCCAACCTAAAACGCTGATTTTTCTTTAAAGGATAGTGCTTTTCTAAATGCAAAATGTCATCTGAATATGTTCCATAAGAATTTGCTTATGTTGGACGTTCTATCTCAACACATTCTAGATCTAGTCCTAAAGAATGATCGGATAGTAACCACTGCTGCTTTGGCTTTTTCTACTGAACAAAGTCATACAACACCATACATTATAAATTGTAGTAATTTATAAATGTTCTTTGTCAATAGAATCAGAAGGATAGAACATCTAATTCTTAAGAAACCCAAGCAAATCAAAAATCTATATAATACAATAAAGAAAAATTCAATTTAGAAGGGGCATAAGCAGATCTAAGATTTAAAACATACTAATTTCCTCATTTAAAATTTTTTCTCTTTCAATATTATAATTTCAGGTCTCTTAAAACAAGGACTGAATTAAAATACAGTAATCGTTAAACTATCTTCCAGAAAATCAAGTGTCCCTGCACCTTACATTTTCCGCACAGTTCCATCTATCAGTCTTTTGCGCAGGAGTTAGCAATTCATGGCACAAGGGTCACTTTTTGCTTTCCCTGCGGAGCTGATGACACTCATCAAGCATCGTCCGAATTCCTCGAGTATCATCCGTTCGGCGGCTGCCTTTGACTTCCCCTTCTTGTCTGCCTGCTCTGCCTGGGCAAGAAGGCAGTTACACGTGGCTTCGGCTACTTCCTTAG